TTCTCGTCCAGATCCGCTGTTTCGGCTCCCAAACGAAAAGCTCCCGGGCTAGCATAGATGGTGTACTCTCATTCAGTTTGACTAGCAACTCCAGCCTTCTTCTAATCTTCACATCTGACATGTCATCGGTAACCTGAAGAGGATAGAGTTACTCCGTACTCGGTCTTACCAATTAACTTTCTATGCGTCGAAGCCAGCAATCCTGCATGTAGTTCGACCGTTGTTCCTGCTCTGTTAGAAGAACTGTTTCCATGTCGTTTAACGACACGGACCTGACAGAGTTAAGGTACAAGCGGTTTTTCATTGTTAGAGTAACTCTTTTATCAGCCTAAATATTGGAGGCGTTTTCAAAAGCATTCGCTGGGGCGATCCTTCTAGATCAGCTATGCCGGATATGCCCCTCATAACTTCCAGAGGATAAGAAAAAGGCCTTTTTTCACAGTTATGCAGCATACGAAAGCTGTCAGGTGACTGAACCCGCGTTCAGGACAGTAGCGTCTGTGTACTTAAGGTGATCAAGATATCTATCCGGATGTCTTGCTCTGCTTCTTCTTTGCCAAGGTTAGCATCGTTTCAGAGAAGGTAGTCGGGAACATACTGAATTGCAAAAGCAAAAGTGCAAAACTCCCTTGCAAACTCCAAATTTAATCGGAAATCATTCTGATAGCTCTCCAACTTTGATAGTAGACATGGTTCCTTAATCTTTTATTCGATGGGAAGTATGTACTCAGGTATGCCGCAGGATTTTTGATTTTCCACTTCTTCGAACGATGTAATAAATTATATGCAGCCTTAAAGCCGAGGGAACTGGCAAATTAAGGAAACTAGAATCGTCGGAATTGCTGAATGACCATATGCAGAATGAAAGTTTAGTCAGGGCGTAAATATTCCATCATGAAGCCTGTTTGGTTTTGGCGGTCTCCTACCATTTATTGCCTGTCTGAGACATGTATTTGCCGACCTGTTGTATATCTGCAAGGTGGCAATATGATTCCAGGAGTTGGTGGTGCGCGCTGGTAGACCATCTTTCAAAATAATGATGGTTTTTCTTGACAATGTTACTTTTAGTAAAATAGGCCCTGAAATGCGAGATATAAAGAAGCGCATACGCCAACATGCGAATAACAGTTGAAGTTTGTTCCTTAGACGCCACGATTCAGGTCGTACCGGGGAGTAATAGGGTTATCATGTATGAGCCTCATTGCGTTCCATGAAGGCGGTTCACTCTACACTATTTAGTATCCACAATTCAGAGCGCGTCTTTCTATCTTGAACATTCTGTGTAGAGTGGATTTGGAAGAATTCTTAGGAGATGCCTTCGTAATTTTTCATTTTCGTGCTTTATTGTTGTGCTATTTTGTCACTACTTTGGTGCCTTATATGAAGCTGATCTTGTTAAAACAAAATGGCGAAATGATTGTTTCGCTAAGTATAAAAGAGTGAATAAATCATCGAATATTTATGCAAATGAATGCGCTATTTAAATCTGAAGCGATGAAACCTCTTAAAACCTGCAGGGGCAACGTGAAACCGTTAAGTTTTTGTTTACAACTTGTGTCTAAAGTGAAAAGATTCCTCAGAACTAAGCAGGATTTCCGCCGTATGAAATGATTTTCACGTGAACGAACCTATGCATAATAACAACTATACTACCTTAAACCGAAATTGGTTCTGTACACTGTGCCATAATTGCAGAAGTCATTATTCAGAACGTAACCTGTGTATTAAGGTGATTCCGTTATTCGCAGTGTTCAGGTGCACAGGTTGTGAGTCCATATTCGGAGGAATCAAAAGTAGTTTGCGCTTCATGAAGCAGAGCTCTGATTTCTTTGCAGATACTCGCAAAGAAAAATGAATGATCACAATATTGAAATGTTTATATGCAAAATTTTGAACGCCTACATCTGTTATGTGCAGGTTATGCGCCCTATGAACTCCGTTCGAGGTCGGGAGTAATGAAAGTTTTTGTTAATGTTATCCTTTAGAAAAAATGCCAGACAGTTCATCGAAATCTCCACTTTTTTTCAATGCAAATAGTTTTAAGCGTGCCAAGAGACTATTTTGTTCCGACAGTTCAGCTTCCATCATCAACGCAATTTTCCTGCTAATTGGCATTCTCACAGTGAAAGCTACGATGTATGACAAAGATACAAAAATGACATAGTTTGTATATGTAGCAGCGTAACTGACCAAAATGCTCTTTTGATAAGCCGTGATCTGCTTCAATTTTTTGCAAACCTAGTGTGAGTTGTTGTGTATGATTGAGTTTTCTAGTTTAAGGACAGCATTTAAGCGGCAGCTTTTAAGGCCTAGACAGAGCGGTTCACCATGGAAGCAATTCGCTTAATAGGTTTATAGGGACAGTGAGTTCGTGTATTTGAGGTAGGCAGTAAAAATACGTTGGCAATAATTACAGTTAAATTTTAGAAGCGCTTCAATAAAACTGTAATTTCGGGTCATGGTAGATGATAATCTGGAAGAGTGGTCAGAGTTTGCGGATGAGGAAGCAGCTTGGACCAATATCTAAGGGAGGGCAAGAGTTATTGAATACTTGCTGGCATATTTTAGCTTGTACATAATCACCGTGGCGTTACGCTTATCTGTCTGTTTATAATCATACATTAAAAAAAGATTTAATGGCGTTCAATTCATTAGAAATTAGGTTGAGCAGTTTTGTTAGAGTCATGAGATTTCATGCCTTCTATTATAGGTTTAATTAATTTCACGAAGGACTCTAGCATTTTTGCTGAACATAGCTTCAAATATAGAGAAAGTTTCGTTGGTTTAAGGCATTATTCATATATGTTAACAGTTCTTTCGTTAGCTGAGTATTGCTTTGATTTAGAACTGTTTCATGGCTGCTGTTGGCGGAAAGACTGTTAGGGCATTTATTCATGAAGCTTTCAGTTTGTCTAAGAAGGTTAATTTGCCTTTCAATTGTATCAAAACCTCTTGCATGATGATTTTATACGCCTGATGGCATAGAATCTTGTAAAAAGTAATCATAGTCCTCATGGAGACTGTTGTCTGTATCGCTCTTTAAATGAGGTTAGCTTCGTAGAAGATAAGTCACAGCTGTTTTCTAACATCTCTAACGTGTAGTTTCAGCAACCTTCTTCCCATGCCTTTAAGTATACGAGATTCTTCATTAGAATTTTTGAAGGGAATTTATGTTGATTGATTTGGTGTTAGATCGAGGTCTCAGTGTTTTCTTGCGCTTTGCATAAATAAGTCGCTTTTGTCCATTTTCGGTTTTCAACATGAACATCAAAGCACGGTTAAATTGTGCATTCTTCAAATACAATAAATAATAGAAGAAAATGAAACTGCAAAAAAAGTTCTTGTTGTCATCAGTGACACCAGCTGAGAATATTCATAAAATTTTTTCGGCTTTCGGTAAAAATTTCTTCGGCTTCCGGCTTTCTCAGTGCTCTTGAAACAATCAGGAATACTACCTGGAGACGTAATTCCACTTACCAGACGTGTCTATATGGTTATTCAGATCTTGATCTGTAAAGAGCTGGCTAGAATTCGCTAGAAACGACTGAGCTAATCGTAAAGTTGTAGTGATGATGTTTTCTGAGATTTATTCAGCAATTTTTATCGGAACCAATTTGCTGACGCAGAAAATCGGCATGTCATGCTCAAGATGACATGGACATTTGTCCAGTGACCTTCAAATTCCCGCACACTGGTATAGGTAACCTGCGGCAGAAGGAAACTGAACATGAAGGGGTATATTAGCTCGCTCACAGAAAGTACTAAGGCCTGAAGAAGAAATGTTTCCGTTAATGTTTCATGAATACTGGTGTAACTTGTTCAGTCCACTCTAAATTTTCATTAAAACCGCCAGGAATATTGAGTTAGGAAAAACATTATTGGGATCGATGCTTAATTTATAACATAATACATCATGCCTGCGCATATATTCATCGAATTCCGAGTACATAATCTTCATCTTCCTTAATGGTCATGGACGCGAAAGCTTCAGGCACTTCTTCGAATGTTCCTGATCCTTTGCCAGAATGTGAACGCAAAACACAACCAAGGTCTGGAGCAGACTCCTTCAATATATTT